CCACAATCAACACCCATGGAAGCAGCAGTCGAGAAATCAAACGAGGCATGCATTAGCCAATTCGGCTGCAAAAGATCTGTTTCAAGTGTTATAAACCAAAGATGTCACTTTAAGGACTAAGGTGCACCTGACCCAAGCCATGGTGTTTTCAATCGCCTCATATGCATGGGAAAGCTGGACAATGAATAAGGAAGATAGAAGAATCGATGCCTTTGAATTATGGTGTTGGCAAAGAATATTGACTATACCATGGACTGCCAGAAGAACAAACAAATCTGTCTTGGAAGAAGTATGCCAGAATGCTCCTTACAAGTGAGGATGATGATAAAATCAAATGGGACTAATGAGGCACAGCAGTCCAGGGACAAGGGCCAGAAGACAGAAGGGGTCAGGAAAGCTGGTGATAGGGAACCCAAGGTTGAGTAAGGATAGTGTTGATGTGTTGTGAGGTTGTTAACCATTGTCATAGGGCAACATGTGTACTGTTTTAACGGAGACTATTTTGTTCTGTAAACCTTCATCTAAAGTGAGAATAGCAGCACAATTGGAAGAGCGTAGTCGATGTTACTGAACTATGCATGTAGCAATTTTTGACATGGTGTATCATTGGCTATGTATATTTTCACCAAAAAAAAAAAAAAAAGGTCGAGAAGGGAGAGGGTTGACAAGTCGTGGGGTTGTCAACCAATGTCATAAAACAATATGTGTACTACTGTTTCCTGAGAAACTATTTGTTCTGTAAACCTTCACTTGAAGTACAATAAAAAAATAAAATTAAAAAAAAGAAGTGAGGATGGTGAGACTTCATGCTTGGCAGAGTAGAGGGTCACTGAAAAAGACGAAGACCCTCAATGAGACGGACTGACACAGTGGCTGCAACAATGGGCTCAAACATAACACAACTGTGAAGATGGCGCAGGACCAGGCAGTGTTTTGTTCTGTTGTACACAGGGTCGCGATGAGTCAGAATCGACTCGACGGCACCTGGCAACATTAGAATGGGGCTCCCTAACGGCGGGAATTTCCGACCATGTTGTCTATGCTGTAGGCCGAGCACCTAGAACAGTGCCTGACACATAACAGCTACTCATAAATACCCGCTGAATGAACGAATGGATGGGCGCGCCCTTGTCCTGTCCTTCTCCGGCCTGGTTTTTAGGTTCTTGCGTTCATTCTCTGAGCCACCCCTATTCTTTCAATAAATTTCCTGTTTGCCTAAGTTAGCTCCTTGCAACCAAAAATCCCGGGAGGTAGGGGACTTAGCAAAGAGCATTAATAAGAGCAGGTATATTAACTATGCTTCAGGCATAAAGCAACTGACCAAAAACAGGACCAGTCTGAAACCAGAATGGAACTGTTAGACCTAAGACCAAAATCCACAGTAAATGGGAATATCACAAATTCTTCCCTCGACCTTTCTGCTATCAATTTCTCTAAGAGATAAAAGGGGGTTAAAGTCCCCCTGGGGATTGACACGATTGGGAGGATGACACATGACCGGGCAGTATTTTGTTCCGTTGGGCACAGGGTCGCTATGAGTCAGAACCAACTCAACAGCACCTAACAAGAACTTGAGTTGGAATTGACTCAGGGGCACCTAACAGCAAACAAAAACAAGAACAAAGTCCCCTCAGACGTGTGATGAGACACAGTGTAAACTTATCATTTAAAGTGATTAAAAGTTGTAAGTCGCTTAACCAATGCCTTACACAGAGGAAAAAAATTCAAATTTTTTTTTTTAAAGCAGTGATTTTTGTGTTTTATTTCATTAACAATATGATCATCTCATACTTCTTTAAAGTGTGCCTGGCACAGTCACACACAAATGACTAGGTCAATGCAGCAGCATCTGCCAACGCTGCTGAAAGGAGGGAAGGATTTCTAACAGTCTTCTCTCAGCGACCAAAGAGACAGAGACACAGAGAGCGAGACAGCGAGAGAGCAAGAGACACAGAGACAGAGAGTGAGAGAGAGAGATTGATTCTATGTGAAATAAAACCAGGGAAAGGACAGGACTCACTAATATTAAACCAACAGTGCACTTCCCAGGGCCCAAATACAACCCTTGTGCTATGTCCACTCATTGTAAAAGTTAATTTTCTAAACACGAGCGAGAGAAACTAAAAGCTGCACTACCCGTGAACAGACATCGTGCCCAGGAAGACACTTCCTGGGAAATACGCTACATGCTTCTAAAGCAAACAAACAGTTACCAACTTGGGAAACAGCCTGAGATTACAGTCAACGCGCAGCATACGGCCACACATTACTGACGCTTCTCGTCAACGTCCCTAAGCATTAACCAGACTGAACACGAGGTCCCTTTCTGAACACGGGATGAAACACTGCGCCCTGGAGGCGGACCTCACAAGGCTCACAAAACCATGAGTTAATACGGGATCCTTCAGGGAACAAAGTGCTGGGCATCTGTGGCAAAACATACTGGTTTCATATCATTTAGCATTTATATAGCACTTATCTCTGCCAGAAGGAGCCCTGATGGTGCAGTGGTTAAAGCGCTCGGCTACTAACTAAAAGGTCAGCAGTTCGAACCCACCAGCCGCGCTGCAGGAGAAAGGTATGGCAGTCTGCTTCCATAAAGATTTACTGCCTCGGAACCCTATGGGGCAGTTCTACCCTGTCCTATAGGGTCGCTGAGTCCGAATCGACTCGACAGCAGTGAGTTTGGTTTGATCTCTGTCAGAGACCTGGTGGCGCAGTGGTTAAGCACTCGGCTGCTAACTGAAAGGTCAGCGGTTGGAACCCACCAGCGCTCCTTGAGCGAAAGATGTGGCAGTCTGCTTCTGTAAAGATTACAGCCTCGGAAACCCTGTGGGGCAGTTCTAATCTCTCCTACAAGGTCGCTTATGAGTCACTATTGACCTGACAGCACACACCAACAAATCTCTGTAGCATTATAGGAAAGCTGGCTTGGCACAATATTCACTTTTTATATATTACACCCAGATATGAAGGTGAGGCAAGCAGGCAGAGTGGAAAGAAAACAGGTTTCATCTGGTTGGACCCGACGACTCTGAGGACAAGTGACTCCGTGACCAACATGTTCAGGGTGAGGGACAAGACAGAATCAGATCTCCACTAACAGAGATGCAAGAAAGCATGTTTGTTAAGGACTCCACTGCTTTAACGGAAAACTAAGACCTGGCTCTCTCTCCACCCATCCTCAGTTCTCCTACAGAAAAGAGGGGAGAGAATGCACACGAATACTGAGGATGAGGAATCCGCATTCAGCTCTTAATCTAAGAAATGCTTTACAAGAGAAGGTTCTCTACTTCTTCGTCCTGAGCCTTCCACCTAACCCCTAACTTCAGTGTTGAATTCCACTCCCCACTCACAGTTATTTCAAGAACTCCTGTACCAGGTTCATGACTCAGGTCTCAAAAGTGCCGAGAAACCTTTCCTCCTGAAAGGCACTTCACTTGTAAGTGGGAGATGGGGGAAGCATATAAAGGAAAAAGAAAACAAGACCAGAAGTGTTTCTGCTCTCACAGGCATTACCCTATATCCCAATTTAAAGAGGATCTGTGATGGTGCTCAGTGAGCAGCCCGGAGCCCCAGGAACCCCAGTGTCCTCACACAGGTGCCTAGCGGTGAAGCCTGAAGCTCTGGGAAACCGTGCGGGTTACTCCTCCCTTCGGGATGTCTTCAATACCTAGCAGCGGGAACAGCCCGTGTGTACCCTGTTTCAGCACAAAGACAGAGCGGCTGCCAGATCACTCCAGGAAATGACCCAAAATCACCACCTCCGATGGAGTGAACCACCTTGGCTGGGACCCGAATTTCAGGTCTGGGAGGCAACAGAGGGGCACACGTGGTCTGAGGCAGAGGATTTGACTCTGGTGCTCTCGGAAGAGTGGGGCCGATTGCTCATTTCATATTGATTGCTGTTATTTTGGGGTGCTGTCCAGGCGATTCCCACTCACAGTGACCCCATGTGACAGAGCAGCGCTACCCCATAGAGTTTCCCGGCTGTAATCTTTACGGGAGGAGACCCTGGTGGCGCAAGGGTTAAGCAATCAGCTGCTAAGGGAAAGGTTGGTGGTTCCATCCCACCAGCTGCTCCTCCAGAGAAAAATGTGGCAGTCTGCCTCCCTAAAGATTTACAGCCTTGGAAACCGTATGGCGCAGTTCTACCGTTTGGCTTTTATGGAATCTTTATGGGACTACATCGCCAAGCCTTTCTCCCGCGTATCCACCAATCTTTCAAAGGGTGAATTATCACTAACTTGTTTAACCTGTCACCAGGTCGCACCATAACCCACTTTAAACACCACAGAGCCTCAGAGCAAACCTCGAAATCAGAAACTATGTGAAAATCACAGGGTTTAAAACCACTCGTTGGAGGTTCACGCCCGGGTCGCTTCTAGGAGCCTTTTCTTGGACCTCTGTCAAAGACCACCGAGGCAGGGTGGGCTGTTTGCTGACTGCCCTCGGCGGTCTTGCTCTCTCCCTCCGCGGACAGGCAGACAGGACCCTGCTCGTCCCATGCCGAAGCCCCGCTCGTGTGACCGCAGAAGGCACAGCGAGCGCAGGACTAGGAGGCAGGAGTGGGCTGCGACCAGAAGAGCTCCAGCCGCCGGCTCTCGGCCGAGCAGGTGGGGACGCGCGGCGGGCAGCCCGGGGCACCTCGGGCTCGCGCCCACCCACCCGCGCGAGCTTTCAGCAGCAGCATGTTGGCCACAGCGTTCTCGCTCTCCGTGTCGCGCCGCCGCCGCCGCCGCCGCCGCCGTGGCCGATTCCGCC